TTCGTCCCCTTACTCTGTCTTTCCTTCCTCAACCACCGCGAGGACTCGGATTCCTACCTTCCGAGTGCTTCCCGACACCGGACGGGGTCCTGTCATCTTCGCTCCTCCTTACTCCCTTCCGTCAAAAAAGAACAAAAAACAAAAAACGAAGCTCTTGAGTTTATTCTCTTCGAATTCCCAAGAGAGAACCAAAGGAACAGACAGCAGTCCACGCATATCTCTCCATCTTACTCTGTCTTTCCCCATCCTCCATACCACGCCGCGGATGACCCAGCAGGAATTCCTACTATCACCGACGTCATCTACACCCGAGCCGCGGGCTCCTGATATCTTCGTCCTCTTAACTTCCCGTTTCTAAAAAAAGTCAACAAAAAAGCGGTCTATTTCATCTTCTTCGAATTCCACCAGAGAGAACCAAAGGAACAGAAGCAGTCCAATATCCTCTACTAACCTTCCCTCAAAAAAGCGTCTCCTGAGGTGTTCATTTCGTGGTGGGTCTTTGCGTTTGCGTCTGTATTCCGAATGTCGAGAGAGCGCGAGGAGCGAGGCGAGAGAGGGTGTATCAGACAGGGGAGGACGGGTTCAGACAGACAGAAGCAAGTCGCGCAGATGTACGGCTATGGTCCCTGTCATCTTACTCTGTCTTTCCTTCTTCAACCGGACGCGAGGACCGCAAGGATTCCTACCTTGCACGGAGTTCCTACACCGAACCGGGTCCTGTATCTTCGCTCCTCCTTACTCCCTTTCTCACAAAAAAAACCCAAAAAAGGTCCTCTATTCATGTTCCTCGAAATTCCACAGAGACGAATCAAAAAGGAAGCAGAGAGCAGTTCCACATAGTCCCTTACTCCCTTTGTGTTTTGTAAAGGTCTCTGATTCATTTGCTTCGACATTCACAGAGAGACAGAACAGAACAGAAGACAGAAGCAAGTCCACATATCCTTACTCCCTTCCCAATTAAAAAAAAGGTGCTCCTTTTATTCATTTCTTCGAATTCACAGAGAGAAAGCAACAGAACAGAACAGAAGAACAAGAAGCAGTCCGACATATCCTTGTGTCGGTCCTTAAACTTCTGTCTTTCACTTCCTCACCACCGCGAGGCCCAAGGATCCTACCTTCACGAGTTCCTTACAAACCGACCGGGGTCCTGTATCTTAGTCCTCCTTACTCCCCTTGTCTCAAAAAAAAACCAAGAAAAGTCTATTCATTTCCTCGAATTCACGCAGAGAGAACCAAAGAACAGAAACCAGTTCCACATATCCATCATACTCCCTTCCTCAAAAAAAGGTCTCCTCTCATTTTCTTCGAATCACAGAGAGAACAGAACAGAATAGAGACACGAAGAACAGAAGCAGTCCACATATCCTTTCGTCTTTGCTCTGTCTTTCCCTTCCTCAACCGCGAGGACCCTAGGATTCTTACCTCCGAGTTCCTACACGACCGGGGTCCTGTATCTTCGTCCTCCCTCCCCTTCCTCAAAAAAAAAGAAAAAAAAGTCTATTCATTTCTTCGAATTCACAGAGAGAACCAAAGGAACAGAAGCAGTCCACATATCCCTTACTCCTTTCCTCAAAAAAGGTCTCCTATTCATTTCTTCGAATTCACAGAGAGAAAGAACAGAACAGAAGAAAGAAGCAGTCCACATATCCTTACTCCCTTCCTCAAAAAAAAAAAAAAAAAAAAAATCATTTCTTTCATATTCACAGAGAGAACCAAAGGAACAGAAGCAGTCCACAATATCCTTCCTTACTCCCTTCCTCAAAAAAAAAAAAAAAAAAAGTCTATTCATTTCCTCGAATTCACAGAGAGAACCCAAAGGGGGAGCAGAAGCAGTCCACATATCCTTTCATCCTTACTCTGTCTTTCCCTTCCTCAACCACGCGAGGACCCAAGGATTCCTACCTTCCGAGTTCCTACACCGACCGGGGTCCTGTATCTTCGTCCTCCTTACTCCCTTCCTCAAAAAAAAACAAAAAAGTCTATTCATTTCCTCGAATTCACAGAGAGAACCAAAGGAACAGAAGCAGTCCACATATCCCTTACTCCTTTCTCAAAAAAGGTCTCCTATTCATTTTCTTTCGAATTCACAGAGGGAGAACAGAAGAACCAGAAGCAGTCCACATATCCTTTCGTCCCTTACTCTGTCTTTCGCCTGCCTCAACCACGCGAGGACCCAAGGATTCCTACCTTACGAGTTCCTACACGGAGCGGGTCCCTGTGTCGCTGAGTATCCGAGTGTGTTGAGCGAGCAAGGAGTGTTGCTTCCCCCACAAAGTCCCAAGATCACTACTGAACGGGCCCGCTTCGGAGTCGCCATTGAGGTCCAACAGGTTCTGCCCGCTGCCTCCCTCCTCCCCCCGCCCCTTGTGTTTTTTTTTCGGTATTTTCCCAGGGTTTGTTTTCCTTTGATAGGAATTAGGATTAAAAGTCTCCTCCACTCCTCCCTTCCTCCACCTCCTTCACCTCCTCCACTCCTTCACTCCTCCATTCCTCATTCTTCCGCTCTGTGTTTTTTTTCGTATTTTTCCAAGGTTTGTTTTTCCTTTGATAGGAATAGGATTAAAGTCTACAAGATTAGGTAGACTTTAAAATAAGTAGGATTTGGTGAAGGATATTTGGTGTCTGAATGTATTGTTAATATGTTTCCGTAATTAAAATAAGCATTAATGTGTGTATTTTAAATATTTCTTCATTAGAATCTGATCATAAGACATTAAACGTATTGAATTAGAGGAAAGACGAATTAAATTAACTACCCAAGCATAAATGAGACAGATTTGATTATACTCTATTATAATAAATTATATTAAGTGACCACGATCTATTTCATACGTGACATACTATGAGATTAAGATGCTTAATTAAATCTGACGAAATGACTGAAATTACAATGAACAAAATATCTAGCTAAAATATAACAGAAAAAACATACAAAGACTCGACGATGATTGTTCACTCTGAACAATCCTTATCCACGACGGGAGTTGAGCTTGGCCATATCGTGGCATTCCTGGCCACGGCTCGTTCATGTACTCTAGTTGTGATAATGTATGTATGTATGTATGTGTGTATGTATGTATGTATGTATGTATGTATGTATGTATGTATGTATGTATGTATGTATGTATGTATGTATGTATGTAATGTATGTATGTATGTATGTATGTATGTATTGTATGTATGTATCATCAAGCAATCTGCATGCCAGTTCTTCGCCCATTGATCTCTTTGTCAAACTGACAGATAAGATGACACATGATAATATATACATGTGCAATACAAAAAATTCTCTCGCAATGCACTGGATCTTCTTAAATGGGTATCATTAAAAACAGGATAAATCATTATTTTGAAATGTAATTAAATAGGTTTAATAAATACACACATATCGATTATAAATACAAACAAATACCTTGATTAACAATGTAAACATCAATAACAAACTAACCATAAATATTAGGCTGAAATAACAAGTTGCTATTTTTTTTTTACTTATAACTAGCATTTTATTTACTTATTTTAGAATTCGTGTAAACACACTTGCTCAAAATATCCATCAACACGTGTATTCAAAACACCTACCAACGTAAGTGTATACAATTCCTGTTAACAAAGAACACAGCATACCGTATATATCATATTTTCAAAAATCATATTTCAAAAAAAAAAAAAAAAAAATCTCAATACACCTAATCATAACACCTTTCTCACAACTTTTTATTTTATATTTATTTATATTTTTTTTTATTTTTTATCTATTTATTTTTATTATTTATTTACTTATTACCTTTCTCACTTTTTTTTTTTTTTTTTTTTTTTTTTTTTTTTTTTTTTTTTTTAGCCCTTGCCTGCAGCTGTCATACGTTAAACAGCCGTCATATAGGAACGAGGTTGTCAATGCTTTCTCGTGGCTTAGGTCGTCAGGAACGCATTTGTGTAATACTATCGATTCTGAACCCTGATTCGTTCGTAGTAGCAAGTACCATACTGACCTAACGTACTAAAAATATTAACACAAAAAAAATCAATTAAATAATAATAAATAATAATAATAATAATAATAATAATAATAATAATAATAATATAATAATAATAATAATAATAATAATAATGATATGATTATATGAAATAACCATAATAATAATAATAATAATAATAATAATAATAATAATAATAATAATAATAATAATAATAATAATAATAACAATAATAATAATAATAATAATGATAATGATAACCACAAAAACTAATATTTAAATAAATAAAGAAAGAAATTAAAATAAAAAAGAATAATCACCACTGCTCTTCCTATGTGATTTAAAAAAAAAGATAATTTACAACATTGATAAGGAAATAGTGGAAATGATATAACAGTGATTACAAACAGAAAAAATACAACAATTACTGTTTATGATAATAACTGACAAATACTGACAATAATGATATTAATAGCAATATGGACAATACAACAACGGCAACAATAATAATAACAATAACAATAATATAAATAATAACAATAACAATGATATAAATAATAACAATAACAATAATATAAATAATAACAATAACAATAACTATGATTATAATTAAAATTATAATGCTGATAGTGGTAATAGTAGTAATAGTAGTAATAGTAGCAGTAGTAGTAATAATAACAATAGTAATGATAATAACAATAATGATAACAACAATAATAATAACAATAATGATAACAAATATAATAATAACAATAATGATAACAAAAATAACAATAACAATAAAGATAAACGTGATAATGATGATGGTAAAAAAAACTAATAATGAAAATAATAATAACAATAATAATAATGATAATGATAATCATGATAATAATAATAAAAAATAATGATAATGATAACAGTAATAAAAGATGATAATAATAATAATGATGGCAATAATAATGATAGTAATAATAGTAATGATAATAATAATGACGATGATAATAATAATAATAATAATAACAATACTGATAACAACAATTA